GCTTTCGAGTTTCCGAGCGCACGTACTGGCTTTCCACAGAAGTTCCTGCCAATTTCAAAATTGGAGGACCTTTTCCTTCTCGTTTGCCCAGATTTTTTACTTTAGGCCCTTAAAAATCGTCCCTTTCTCCGCATTTTTATGCACCCCATGGATTAATCTCGGGTCAGGTATCTTCAATTAGCGCGGAATCCTCGATGGATTGCAGAGATGTAGGCCGTTCTTCACGCACCTTTTTTTCTTCTCATCCTGATCCTCTGCTTTCTGCTCCCCTCCCCATTTTGCTTTTCTCCTCAAACCCTTGATTTGCCCCCCCCCCCCCCCCCCCCNAACCCTTGATTTGCCCCCCCCCCCAACCGCTCCTATTGTCCGGTTTGTCTCTGTAACTTCCTTTGCATTTCTAACCTCCCTCTAATCAATGTTTTCTCCTCTTTTCTATTTTATTCTTCTTTTTTCATTTCTTCCTCTATTTTATCTTTTGCTTATTTTTCTCCTCTTCTATTTTCTCCTTTTCTTCATTTTTCTCTTTTTCTTCTTTTCCCCCTTGTTCTTCTTTTTCCCGTTTTTCTTCATTTTTCTCATTTCCCCTTGTTCCTCATTTTTCTCTTCTTCTCCTTGTTCTTTTTTTTCCCCTTGTTCTTCTTTTTCTCTTGTTCTTCTTTTACCTTGTTCATCTTTCTTCTCTTGTTCTTCTTTTACCTCGTTCATCTTTCTTCTCTTGTTCTTCTTTTACCTTGTTCATCTTTCTTCTCTTGTTCTTCTCTTTTACCTTGTTCTTCTTTTCTCTCTTCTGTTCTTTTTTCTCTTTTTCTTCTCTTTTCTCTTTCTTCTCTTTTTTCTTTCTTCTCTTTTCTCTTTCCTCTCTTTCTTTGCTTTTCTCTGTTTTCTCTATGTTTGTGTTGCATGGTGCATGTTGGTGTTGCATGTTGCATGTCGCATGTTGGTGTTGCTGTTAGTTTTGCATGTTGGTGGTGGTGGTGGGAACCGAGCCGAAGGTGCGTCTCCACAGTTCATCCGATTATCGGACGGATGGTCCGCCAAGCAGTCCGCCGGGCGCTTTGTCATCCGACGGAGCGCCTGGGGGGTTGTTTGACGTATACCCTACATCTGACAGTTGGACGAACTGCGTAGACGCACCTTCGACTCCAAGGCCCTCGTTACACGGACGAACAGAGAGCAGACCTCCATCCAAGTGGAAGTCACCAACGTTCATCGATGCTTATCGATGAACATTGATGAGCTCCACTTGGACGGGGATCGGTTTGCGATTTTGTCCCCGCAACGAGGGCCTCGGGTGGCCATGCGTATGGTGATGGGGGTGCAGTAGCCCGGGGGCTTCGGGAGGCACCGTCCATCGGGGCTCAGCGCCAGCAGGTCTGGGCGGATCTGCCGATGGGATCCTCGCCGGAGCTGCACGAGCGGCGGTCGTCGTTGCACGCCTCGGCCGAGAGAGGCAAGTCGCGATGAAAACAACTCGGGTTCCCGGGAACCCGGGTTCAGCGGAACCATTTCGAGGCCTTACAAGATTCACCTCAAGGCCTTACACGCAGGTCCGCCACAAGGGGGGGGGGGGAGGGATACTGGGTCCTTAGTACCGCGGCCCGGGCCCTGGAGGCAGGGCCGGATTTACCTATAGGGCACTGGGGCACTTGCCCATAGCGGCAAATTTTGAGGGGCGGCAAATTTTGGCACTGGATTAATTGAAAGTTAAAGCGAGAAAAAAAGAAAAAATGGAGACAGAGACGGAGCGAAGTGAAAAGATGAGCGGCAAAATGTATGAAGGAAGGGAGTTGACGCTTGACGGGAGCGGCAAAGCTGCCGCCCCTTAGGTCCGGCCTTGAGCGCTAGGATGATCGTTCGTTGGAGTGATACTAAACAACACGGCAATTTTAAACATCGAGGCAGACTTGATAATCAATTTAGACGTTGATGCTCTCGTTGACAGTTTTGCTAAACTGAAAACCCGGCGAAAAACTTTTTAACCTGATCTTCCGAAAATACATTGCAACTAATACATTGAGCTACACTAGCTTCAACTTTGTCTCCACTTTTTATTTTTGTCTCATCCATCCATTCCATTTTATATATTCGCGAAGCAGCTACGCGCACGCGCCCAGGCGGCGCACGAGGGGGGGGGGGCAAGATGAGATGGCGTGGGAAGTTGGGAGTGCGGAGAGGGTAGGGGGAGGAGGGGATACTGTTGACAATATAGTGGCGAAATATTGCAGACCCAGGGGCTGCAAAAAGCTAAATCCGGCCCTGCCAAAAATGCGTCCAAATAGATTAAAAAATTCAAAAATTTCCCGGGAGAGGCCCCTCGGATCCCCTTCACCCACGGGGGAGGGGGGCGGGCCCGGGCCTTAGAATCGGTACCAGGGCCCGAGATGGGCGAGATTTGGC